TAATCCCACGGGGCCCTGAGTTTACAGTCTGGTACTCACCTCAGTGGCCATGAGGGGATTCGAACTGGTGACTATTGGGGAGCAAACTTAAGGGCTGACCAATTAAGCAACCCCTCAAGATTAATTGGCAATTCTAATTAAAGTGCACGTTAAGAGAAATTTTATTTGTAATGCTATTATGAAATTTTATTCAAGTTTATTTGACAAATTCTAATTAAAATTCTATTTAAAAGCCCTTTTTAGAGTTGGAATTTGTGTTGGATTTGAAAAAGTTGAAATTATAGACACAGAAAGTTTTCTCACTGAATTTTCGCTAGGTGGACGCTCGATCGTCAAAAGCATAGAAGCGGCGCCCACTTGGCACTAGCATAGCTCGAGTGACAGGACCTCGTTAGCCTAAAGCTAGTCACTCGCTCAAGCGGTGGTGTTATTAGGCTAGGCCCCTTTTTCGCATTTTGTCGAGTTTTTTGCATTCTACTTCAACTACATCTACTATTAGGGTTTGACTCTTCATTATGGTTTAATAAGAACAAAGAAGTTAGACAAATCATAAATACAAATTTTTTTTATTCTTTCTCCATATTTTAATGAAATCTCAATTCTCTGCAAATTAATTTATTATTGTGTTCTTGTTATTAATTACTTCATATTGTTACTATAATATCTAATTTTCTCCAGCAATTTGGTATTGGTTTAAACCTGTATCATCTCAACTTTTCACGGCAAACTGGTGTCAAAGCCTTTTGAAATTATTGGGAAGATCAAGGTTTTTGGAGATGCCAAAAATGAAGTAAGATATTTTTCAATTTGACCGCAATACAATATTCTCTATGTAGGTAAAGATTAGAGTAGTACTCGGTCAAATAAATTTGGACAACGCATTGTTGGAATTTAACAAGATGCCCACAATTTGGACTCCGATAGAGAAACAACGGAGGGATCGAAATGTCAAATCTCAAATATACGTTTTGAAAGAGATGTCAGCCGCTCATTATGATTAAAATTGGAGCAATTATGCACAACGAAGAATTTTGCTAGCAAATTGCATCTGAAGCAACGTCTCTAAAGGATCACCCAACTACTTTTGAGGATTACCTAACGGTTTTTAAAGAAATCGTCACTAATTTGGAGACATTGGATGTCAAATATGATGAAAAAAATTTGTGAATGATTTTATTGGGTTTATTGCCCACTTTATACATGTGTTTTTGAGACAAGATTTTATATAATCGTGATACTCTCACTATCAAAGAAGTCGATAATGCTCTATAGTCAAAACAGAAGATGAAACATCTTGTAGCATCTGAAGGTCATGGAGATGGTCTCATTGTTGGTGATTGTCATTCAAAGGGCAAGTCAAAATCTAGTTTCAAATTTTATAATTATTGCAAGAAAAATGGACACTACTTGATAAACGATTGTTATAAGTTGTAGAATAAATCAAAATTGATTGCAAATCAACAATCAGAAATTCCAAAGGAATGAAGTATTACAGAAAATCTTAATAATGATGGAGAGTTTTTATTTATGTCAGACTACAACTACAAACCTGAAGAGGTCTGAATTTTTTATACAACTTGCACTTTTCATATAACTCTTAATTGGAATTTGTTTTCAACATATGAAAAAGTTTCAAAAGGTGTTGTGATAACCGGTAATAATATACCTTGTCAGATAACTATTATTGGTCGGGTCAAAATAAAGATATTTAATGAAACGATTAGAAGACTTAATGCAGTATTGGTCATTATATCACTTTTGTTCTTAGTTGTGGTAGCAGAAGTATAGAGTATTTTCACTTGAAAATATTTTATGGAGATGTTCGTTTGTGTTTTTCATTAAAGAGTTCAAGTTTTTTCACTGCAATGGAATTTGTCTCCGGTGGAGAATTTTTCTTTATAAGTTTTGTTCATTACAATGAAATTTATGTCAAGGTAGAGATTGTTAAATTTTGGTTGTGATTCAAATCCTTTGTTGAAAATAAATGAGAATTCTAATTAAAGTGCATGTTAAGAGAAATTCTATTTGAAATGCTATTCTGGAATTTTATTCAAGCTTGGTAAATTCTAATTGAAATTCTATTTGTAAGCCCTACTGATAGTTGGAATTTATGTTAGACTTGAAGATGTTAAAACTATGGACCAAAGAGTTTTCTCGCAACATTTTCGCTAGCTTGGCGCTAGTTGGGCGCTCGAGTGTTGAAAGCAGAGAAACGATGCCCGCCTAGCGCTGGAGGGATAGGGCGCCGCTAGCCTCCCGTTCTCGAGCGGCGGTGTTACTCAATCCAGGCCCGTTTTCCGTGTTTTGATGAGTTTTCTTACATTCTAGTTCAATTACAGCTCTACTACTAGGGTTTAGAAGTCTCACTTTTGTTCCCTATATAGAGTGGCTCACTATCATTTAGTAAAAAGTTAAATCATAAATACAAAATTTTTATATTCTTAATCTATATTATAATAAAATTTCCATTCTCTACAAATTATTTTGTTTTCGTCAATTACTTCATATTGTGGTTATAATATCTTATTTTCTCCAACAATTTGATATTAATTTAATTCAATATCATCTTGGTTTCACAACAGAACCAAACATGGGCTAAGATTATTTGCAGCCACAACTTCTTGTGTTGGATCCAATGAAGCTAGATTTTTCATTTTTATGTGTGTGTATATAGATATTCTACTGAGATCACATCAATGTTGGGAATCACATTGAGACATGTCTAACCATCTAAACTTTCTGACTTTTTTTGTCACTCAGCGTCATTCCCATTTGTTATTGCAATTAATCTAGTTGTACAAAAAACTATTTTTGAAATGATTGACCAGATGTTGTCAACACATAGTTTGTAAATCAAATTTGTCAACATAATTTGTACACATAGTATGATTCTTGCCGTCGTATCTGATCTAATTTCCTTTATTATCCACTTTAGTATAATCACTCGTACGTCTTAATACACTCATTTAATCAATGCCCAATATTTGTCCTTCAACAACCTAGGTACCATAAAACATAGAATATCTATATCGCTTTCTCTATATTATCCAGACTACTCTAATTCTATATACGTGTAACATCTTTTGCAAGTAATATTTTTTGTTGAAGTGTTGTTTGACAAAGTTTTTGATAAATGTTTTAACAAATTTTGATAAAAGTTAATGAAGTATATTATTAAAAAGTTGTGAATTCCATAAAATATATGGTTAAAATGAAGTTTGTCCAATTAAAAATTGATAAAATTTTAAAAAGTTTTAATCAAACAAGCATTTTCTTGACACTTTCAAAATTAAATACCAAAAAAATCAATCTTTAAAGATTACAATCTTTATAATAATTCAACGACATATGTTTGAATACTTCGTTTTAGTTATACATGACGGCCTAAATACTTTAAAATGATACTTTCAAATCATTTTTTTTTTCAAACTATAGAAAGGCCATGACTATGATCCTTAGACAACATATGGACACTGACTTTTGTAACTATAATTAAAAATTCCAAATGTTACAACAAGAAAAAGAGACCAAATTTAGCTATCTTATCACCTTATCAATTACCAAAAATTATTTCCTAATTCCTTATCATAATTCATTTTTTTATTTTTTTTATTTTTCTTTACTAATAAAAAGGGACCATATATATACAACTTGCGCATGAAATCATAAGCTTCCAAGCAGTGCCATTACAACCAAATACAGCAAGCATAGTAAAATAATTACTAATAAGCACACAAAATTATAACCAAATTCTTTTTTTCTCTTACATTAAAATGTATTCAAAATAAATTTTGTGTGAAATACTTTCCCAGAAAATGAAGAAAAAAAAAAAGGCAAAATTCATAAACATCCGTTTTCATAACAAAATAGGATGGGGGTTTTGTACCTTTTATTTAGACTATCAAATCTTTCTGAATCGAAATCACACGACAGTCATATCCTTTGAATAATTGACGGAAATCACCTTAGCATACTTTTGCATAAAACATCATGATATATGCCAAACCAAAAGGCAAGATTTGCATTTTGCTTAAATTGTGTCACTTTCATTTACAACAAATAATAAGGTAGATTAGACGACTACAAACAATATCCAGCAAAAAAAAATAAAAGAATTCTTGTTCATTATCTAGGCCCTGTTTGTTTCTGATTCTCAAATCAATTCTCATTTTCAACCACACATTCTTCAATAAAATAACATTTTCCATCACATCAATACTTTTTTCTTCTTTTTCAACCACACATTTCCCATCATATCACTATTCAAAAATCAATTCTTCTCCCAAAAATCCCTACCAAACACACTCTTAATTGCCAGACTTTTATGATAATCTGGT